ATCTTAAATTAGAGACACAACAAAAAGTAATAAACTTCATTAAAATAAAAATGAGACAACCAGATTTAAATCAACATAAGCACTAGAACCTGAAAGTTCACAATACATACAGTGTCGTAAGTGCCTTTAGTTCCCCTATTCTTGGTGACATGGTTCCAGAGAATCCCAAATAAGGCAGGACCCTGGCCAAAAAGAGAAAAACAAGAATAAATAAAGATCAAGCAGATATATTATGTCATAGTTATGAAGCACATTAAACAGATACAAAGACTTCTATTTAGTCATTTACTGTAGTGGAAGCTAAAAATAATTGAGAATCAGTAGTTGTAAGTATTTACAGAGGAAAAGTGAAAACTGAGTAATTTGAAAATTAAATTTAACAGCTGAAAATGGAATAAGCTGAGGAAGAGTTGCTTACTGAATAAGTTGTTAGTGTTTTTTATTCTATTTTCTTTTTGGGTAAAATCGTAACAGAAGCATAATAATTATTAAGAAATTCAACAGGCTTGTTTTCATTAGAGGTAAACTTTGGCATTTCAAAACCCATAAAACTATTTCTCTCAGCCTCACTAGGAAGAAACACTTCTTCTACATTCTTCACTAACACTCCCATGAATCACACACAATGTCAAACAAAGTTAAACAATAGTAATCAATTGAATGGTTAAATCAATCTTCAATATTTCTTACACTGATATTACACTGTTATTTGCGCCGCACGTAATTTTCGACCAAGTGCAGGGAGTCACTTGATTGGGATTCCAATCCTGGAGCTGATTGGCTGAAGCATTAAGTGAAGTCCTCAAAGCATACAACGCGTCTCCTTGAAAAATCATGTAATGTAATGTATTAGTGAAGCTGTGTGAAGGTCATACTGAATAAAGAATCTTATGATGTTTATAAAACACTTGGGAACATAAAAAGAATGAAAAATACATCTTTTGAGATGTAGGATCATAGAAACTAAAATGCCTCTCAACTTCAAAATTCCCTTTAGCTTTGTGAGTGCAAGTACATAAGTTGACCATAGCAAACTAATAACAAAATGGCCTTCGGTTAATAAATCTGGCATACAGAAAAAAGGACTTCATAGAGAAAAACTAAATTTCCAAAAACGCAACTGAGAATTTAGAGGCGTGCGTCACATCTATTTCCAGCTTCTACTCTTGAAAAATGAATCCCAAGTACAGATTTTTTTTTTCTCTTTTAACTAACTTTGTGCTATATCTACCATTTACCAACAAAAGAAGAGGTTCAAAAAGACTGAAAAAATCCATCTCTGCCATTGATGTTAAATTTCTATGCAGGCTCAACTAAAAACCTGCATATGTTCATACACAAATGAATCTCAAGTGATTAATTCATCACATTTAAGCATGAAGCAAGTATTTGGCACCTGGAACTGAAAATTATTATTGAGGACGAAGAGT